CTAGAACGGAGTAGCTCTCCTTACTTTCACAGTGACATTCTGAGCCGCCCTGCGTTAACAGGAAGAGCGAGGCTGGCGTCTCCTCTGTCCTTCTCCCCCATCTACGTGTGGGAATCAAGTTCTCAACAGGCAGCTCTTTCTATGGAAGATTATCTCACATTTTAAAAAAATGCTTAAAGCCGTGGACAGCTGGTAGCTGCATCCATTCCCATCCCATCTCGGGCATCCTAGTTCAAGAGGCAGAAAGTGCCCCCCGCAGTGGTGGTCCGCCTTGAAAGCTGACCCGCCTTCTCCTGCAGATAGTGCGGATTTGCTTTTCCTTTTGCGGGTTGGCCGAAAGGAGAAGTAACGGTCTCAGTCGGCTCCTCCCTTAGGAGACCGTCCATCTGCACCCAAACGCACTGGACAATACATGTCAGCTGTGTCTCCTGGGTGACGGCATCTCAGGTGAGATTTGCTGCGTGCTCCCCAGTCGGTCCTCCCCAGTCGGTCCTCCCCAAGCTTCTGAGGCGGTCGAGGAAGTGGATTCTCAGGGCAGTGTGTCGTCCCTGGGACCCCCAACAGTTCCTGTTGATTAAAATCAGACATTTCTCCACGAGAAAAGTCGACTGAGCCCTCCTCCTTGGTCGCTCGAAGCACGAGACCCGATCATAGTCGCCGTCTGGAGCAGGCCGCTTGGCTTCCCACCCCAGCCGGGGCTCCGGGCAGCCCGAAAAGCATGGGATCGGCTGCGACCTTAGCGAAGGTGGAGGCCGGCTTCACCAGGAGGGACTGGGGTCAGGGAGTTTATATAACCGGGAAGGAGCACTGACTGGGGTGGGGAGGGGGTGATCTGACTTCCAAGTGAGAGCCAGGGTCATTACCTTGTTACTCGGGGAGAGAGATCTGCCGTCCCAGCCGCCCTAACAGCCGGTCTAGGACTCAGGGAGCTCACGTGCAGTGCCCTCGGGAAATCCTACCAGCTGCCATGTGGCTTAGGTGCTGCTGGGCCCCCAGCCGGGCTTTTTCTCAGGGCGGGAAGTCGCACACCTGAGGAGGCTTCAGAGCCGCGCTCTGCGTAGAGGTGGATGCGTCTGCAACCTTCCCTCATGGCACAGGCTGTGGCTGCGAGCGGACACGTGGGAGTCTGTGGACACGTGGGAGTCTGCGTGCACGCGGGTTAACCGCTCCTTCACGTGACGACTCATTAGGAGTCTCTATTATCTGTTCCCTCGTTGGTAACATATTGTCATAATTGAAGCTGGTGTCGGTGCCCCAGGGGCACTGCCGAGTGTGCACAGGATCTTCCAGGGAGGAGGTGCCGTGCAGGACGGAGTTTTATTCGATCCTTCCCACGCAGTACCCGCCGTCCATCGAACACGTGTGTGCGTGTCTGTGGGTTTACTAGCAGCTGTGCCATGTGTTAGAAGACGCATATCTCCAGCAGAGTTTATTATATTTCAAGCAAAACAAGAGTGAGAACACACTGCTGATCTCATTCTGAAAGAGTCTGATGAAGAAGGAAACCGGCTGCTCGTTGAGACACAGTATGGGTGGGATCCTGTTCTTTTCATGAACGTGGGTCCGTAAAGTAAATTTAGACCCAAAGAACAAGGGAGCAAGCAGCACGTCACACACCGTGGGTATTTGCTGAGCCATCCGGCCGCGGCTTTCAGTGTGGGGGCTCTCGGGAGCGGCGGGCAGCCTTGCTGGGTGTTGGCCAAGTTGTTGTGGGGAGGAAGGGGCACAGTAAGGGGAAGAGAAGAGGAGTGTGTGTGTGTGTGTGTGTGTGTGTGTGTGTGTGTGCACGTGCGTGAGTGAACGTGTATGCACCTGCCAGTGTGTGTGTGTGTGAACGTGTGGGGGGTGCTTGTGTGCAGGTGTGTACGTGTGCACATGCTCGCGTGTGTGTGCTTCTGTGTGTTCACGCGTATGTAGTGGAAAGAGAGGGAGACACGCTGATTTGGGTTGATTGTCTGTCCGAACAGTCCCTATCTTCATACTCACTGCACAGTTTTCTCAGCTTCTAGTTTTCAAGCAGGAGGTGGTGAGTTCATAAAGCAATTGGTAATGACACACATGCCGTTAGTCTGTGAGGTATGTTCCTTCAAGGCAATTTTTTTTTTTTTTTTTTTTTTGGTATAGGTTAGAATGCTCTTTTCTTTTGGACAGCTCTAGATATTTTTTTCTCTTGAAGTCTGGTACTTTGTAGGAGATTCCACAGTCAAATATTATAGTTTATAAGATGAAGAAGAATAAAATTAGATAACACCTTTGTAGGCTGTGCGAATATTGTCTTGATGCTAGATTGCAAATCCCAAATTTGTGAGCTAAAAGCCCCTTTTCTTTTGCAAACAATTATTAGAGCTTTGAATTTCATTAATAATTGTGATTATGGTGCCGGAAGAAGTCCTTAACTAGGTAATTTCTCCTTCTCATGGTCTTAGGAATTCCGTGTTATAATGTAGCCTCACCAAAAAGCAGCCCCAGGAAACTCATCATATTATTGGAAAATTTTTGATTTTTGTATAAAGGAAAGTTTTATCTCCATACTGAGTTCTAAAAACCTCCATTCAAAAGAGGATGGTGAGTTAAGAATCCTTCAGCAACTTCTTTCCTCTTAGTATCCCTATATCGTGCATGTAATTCCCTATTAATAATCAGATGTGCTACAAATAAAATGGAATAGATTTTTAGCACACCGCAGTTTATAAAGTCCCCTGCCTGGACCACCCTATGAGATTTCCACTCTGACCTTATAGAGCAGACAGCCCTCCCTCCTCCTGTGCTAGTCCAGGGGACATCTGAGCAGACTTGTGGGACAGGTGGATTCCTGCATGGCTCCCTGGGGGGGGGGACTTTGTCTCCCTCCAGGTTCTTCCTTGTTCCACACCCTGGGGGAGCCAGTGCCGGGCATTATCTCCAGCTGCTGAAAGACCTTTGCATTGATGCATCTCCTGATTTCTGCTTCCTGCTTGTGGTCATGCCTGAGCTGTTTATCTGACTCTTGTCCGGACACATACAATTGCAAATATCAAAATAAGTAATGAAATGAAATTAAGGATTTTTTAATCTGCAAACTACAGAGAGGGTTTAACTATACTGTTTAACTATAGTGTTACAATTTAAAATGTATTTCACGATTCTGGAATTTGCAGAAACACTGTGTGTCAACTTCACAGGATCTTCATTATATTGAAAATGTAAATATGATTTATTGCATAAACTATTTTATTAAAAAGATTGTACTGAGAGTAATTGCTTGCACAGTAATTGCTAGCACAGAACTTTAAAAAGTTCTACAGGAACTTTTTAAAAAAAATAGTGTTATGCCCGAGTTTTCGTGTCTGAGAGACCACCAAGGAGCCGAGCACCGATGCAATCACACGAGGGTTTATTTGACAAGCTTAATCTTGGGCCCAAGTATACCTGGCACAGCGGAGTAGGGACTTGGACCCCGAACCAGATTACAGTCAGAGTTTTTAAGGCAGAGTAGGGATGGACTCCATGGTGGGTGAGGACAAAGGAGATTATGGATGATGTAAGTCTCTAAGGAATTTTGGAAGTGAGGTTTCCAGGACCTTGAGGGGCTAGCTATTGTTGGGAGAAAGGTTATTTATTACCAATAATAAAAATCTTCCCGTGAGACCCTTTAGATGTATCAGTGGGCCATATGCTTGGGAATGATTATCGACACTATCTTGGAGGTTTAGAGATAAAGTTTCCTAAAGGTATTGTTAAAGTAAACTTAAACGGGATTCTGGTCGGACCTGTCGGGGTAGGGGGTCAAAACCTCAAGGTGAGGGCAGTTGAGTCCCCAGGGGAGAGTCACTCTATCTGTTTCAAGGGCTTGTCAGTAGGTAAGGAATTTTAATGATTTTCTTCTGCCTCTGTTTCCCACATCAGCTAAACTTGAGGTGGGATGGCCTTAATTTTCTCAGCCTCCACAATAGAAAACAGATTTTTTTTTTAATTTTTTTTAAAAATTAGAAAATGGAATAGATTTTTTTTAATTTTATTTGTGATGAACAATTAACAAATCAAAACATAAGAACCACATTATTTCTTAGTCAACAACACTTAGACTGGAGTGCTAGTATAATTTTCTTTTAAATTAGAAGGAAATTAGGTCCACATTCTCCTGACATTCTTTATAGGCAATTTTTACTATCATTTGTTTTACTTTTTAAAAAAAGTCAATTCACTGGGGCACCTGGGTGGCTCAGTGGGTTAAGCCTCTGCCTTCACCTCGGGTCGTGATCTCAGGATCCTGGGATCGAGCCCCGCATCCGCATCGGGCTCTCTGCTCAGCGGGGAGCCTGCTTCCTCCTCTCTCTCTGCCTGCCTCTCTGCCTACTTGTGATCTCTCTCTGTCAAATACATAAATAAAATCTTTAAAAAAAAAAAAAAGTCAATTCACACCATCTACTTTTCTTCCGAGGTAAACCACCATCAAATGTATTGTTCCAGCTTCTAAAGCACGCAGTTAGCTACTTATTAATTGGAAGTTGTTATAATTCTGTTACTGCTAATTAGCTGTTTTACTTAGGATGGTGAGTGGCAACTTGGAGAAGATACGTTTTAATACTTACTGAAGGGGCACCTGAGTGGCTCAGTGGGTTAAAGTCTCTGCCTTCGGCTCAGGTCATGATCTCAGGGTCCTGGGATCGAGCCCCGCATCGGGCTCTCTGCTCAGCAGGGAGCCTGCATCCCCCTCTCTCTCTGCCTGCCTCTCTACCTACTTGTGATCTCTCTCTCTGTCAAATAAATAAATAAAATCTTTAAAAAAGCCCCGCATCGGGCTCTCTGCTCCGTGGGGAGCCTGCTTCCTGCTCTGTCTATGCCTGTCTCTCTGCCTGCTTGTGATCTCTGTCTGTCAAATAAATAAATAAAATCTTAAGAAAAAAAAAAAAAAAAACTTACTGAAAATGTTCGTCTTAAGAAACCGTATGTGATCACAGCCTTCTGCATCCCAGACTACCTTAACGTCTTACGCGCAAGCTTCATTCTGTCCGTTCCAGCCTACGAGCTCCAGAACTGCCCGGACCCACCTCCTTTTCAGAATGGTTACATGGTCAACGCGGACTACAGCGTGGGACAGTCCATCTCATTTGAGTGTTACCCTGGGTACATTTTGCTTGGCCACCCAGTCCTCACCTGTCAGCACGGGATCAACAGAAACTGGAATTATCCCTTTCCAAGATGTGACGGTAGGCTAATCGTTCTTGGCAACAACTTAATTTTTCATGTGTATAGTAGTGTGTTAATTATTAAATAGAGATATTTAAAAATCCTTTCATTTACTCAACAAATATTGATTAGGAATCTATTACATTAAACTCATTCTACTTAGTATTTCAGGAATATATCATACGCCAGTAAATTAATATGCATAAACAGGCCTTGCCCTCATGGAAATTATAAAGAAAACAATGTAATAAATGCAAACATGTATAACACAAACCAGACCCAAGGACAGTGTTTGGATGAATTGCATGGAGAAGGATGGCGCTGGTTTGCGAAGTGACCAGGGACATCTTTATGATGGGGGTAGTGCTTAGAATTACAGTCGTCCCACCAAATTATGGGATTAGTGGAGGAAAGGATGCTTATAAATTTTACCCTGGACTGTTTTTTCCATTTTTTGTTGTTAAACTTTTACAATAATCATATATTGCTTTTATATTTAAGAAAACTAATTTTATTTTTGTAGTGGGCCTTGAAGTATATATATATGATTTTTCTACTCAGAGATGGGGTATCCAGGGTAGAAAAAAATAGTGGAAGCAAAGACAGGGTGTAGACACTGTCTTAGGAAAAAAATAGTGCATTTCAATAGTGTGTGATGGTCAGTCAGGGTTTCTTGATAGACGTGGGGATCAGGTGGTGATGGAGGGAACTCTGGATTCATCAAATATCCCTAGTCTGAGCAAGAATTACTTCTCTGAAGCTTCTCTTTGACTACCTGATATTTTAGATGATTTTGAAATTTTGGTAATATCAAGTTGAAATTAATAGACCAAGTGCTTTGTTTATGAGACAAGCGTATAAAACAGAAAAGTTCCTGTAAACCTAATATTAGAACATTTAATACAGAAACCTTTGAGTGAAAAAATAATGAAGGGGTACCTGGGTGGATCAGTGGGTTAAAGCCTCTGCCTTTGGCTCAGGTCATGATCCCAGGGTCCTGTGATGGAGCCTGGCTTCAGGCTTTCTGCTCAGCAGGGAGCCTGCTTCTGCCTCTCTCTCTGCCTGCTTCTCTGCCTGCTTGTGATCTCTGTCTATCAAATAAATGAATAAAATCTTAAAAAAAAAGAAAAAATAATGAAGTTTTCAACTCTGTGGCCCTCTGAAATGCTAAACACTTATATCCCACCAGGAATATAGGAAAGGCAACTTGGCTGTGTTTGAATTTCTTCTGAAAAAGTAAAAACAAAACAAAACTACTGTTGGACTTTTTAAATTATATTTTTCACCTGTATTTTTCCATTCTATATTATTATTAAAAAAAACTGTAAAAAACTTTAGCTGTATTTTTAATTCCTTACCTTAAAAAAAAGAAATAAAAATTAAATTGCCCCTGTCTAATGCAAATTAAATAACATATAAAACAACATTTAAAAAAATTACTTTATAAAACTAATATAGCAGCAGTATATCTAGTGCTTTTTATTAAAACTCTTAAAAACCTCTTTTTACTACTCTCCATTTAAAAATTCATTTATTTGCATATCTATAAAATACTTTGAATTATCACAATTAAACCCTTTTCTTATTTGTAATTTTCACCTGAGTTCTTTGTATTCATATGCACATGGAAGACGGCTTGGCTTGATATTAAAAAGTAGAATTAAACATTTAAAAAGGCTTCATCACTTTGTCAAGGTCTGTTTTCAAATATAGAAATAGCCGCTGGCTTAGAATTATTCTGTGAGCGTGAAAGTAACAAAGTGTATTGTTTGTGATGTAGCCCAAAGGGGGTGCGCCTTGTATAATGATGTTGTGATGTGTCACACTACCCAGAGGTGGCCAGACAAGCTGAGGGCCTGCAGACTCCAGCTGAAAGACTGAGAGCCGCCCCAGACCATCCTGAGCTTGGACGACTGACTAAGACGGCTCACAGAACTCACTAAGCTGGTGGACTCTGCTTGTGGTTTATAAGAAGGAAAGGGCATGTGAAAATCCTGGGGAAAGAAGCCCAGGTTAGAGTCTGGGAGGCTGCATCACTGATCTCAGGGACTGAGGGGTGACAGTGTGCCCGAGTATCACCAACCTGAGAAGCTCCCTGGGTCTTAGTGCCCAGAGGTTTTAACTGGGGCTCCCTGAGGCAGGTATGACTGATGGATGGATGACCTGATGGTTGATGTCAGCTTCCGGACCATCTGATACCTTGTAACTCAAAGACGGCAACTTAGAGTCCATGGTTGGTCTTTCCGGCATAATCAGCCCATCCTGACACTACCGGGTATGGCCAGCACCCACATGAGATAAAGACACGGCCACCGGGTGTGTTCTTAACCCCCCTCCCAACCCACAGCCCCCAGAATAGAAGCCTAGACCTCTCTATGGACAAGGTCAAATTTTTTACTACCCAAGTATTTTTACCATGATATCTCTCTTCCTATCTATAATGTCATAGACAAAATAAAAAACAAAACAAAACATAAAATTCAAATAAAATTATATCATAAAGTGAATTTTCTAGGCACCAGCCAATGTGTATTTAATATCTTCTTCATATTGGATAAAACACACACAAAAAATAAGCGGAGGGTATTATTATATAACAACAGTTATTTTATCTGTTTTATTTCATATATATATATATATATATATATATATATATATATATATATATATATTTAACATTATAATGTATTCGTAGCCCCAGAGGTACAGGTCTGTGAATCGCCAGGCTTACACACTCACAGCACTCACCATAGCGCACACCCTCCCCAGTGTCTTTGTTCGCGGACTACGATGGGCTGTAAGATGTCCATTCATTGGTTACGCTCCTCACAAGACATGGGCAAACTGCTGATGATCGGGGATGCTCACCTCAAGTGTATTTTATTAATTCACATTGGATTTCTAGTTCAGACTTATTCTTGGTATGTAGGACAAATGTACTGGAAACAGTCTTCAAAGTTCCAACCCTGTAAACCTCCGAAGAATCTCAGAATAGATGAGAGATACTTGGGAAAAAACAAAACATAGAAACTTTGAATAGCTTCTGGCATCTTCAGTAAAAAGTGAACAATTTAGACAATTAAGAGTCAAGAATTCTGAATCTTAAGGCATCCATCTTCATAAGCATATATTAAACCAATTCATAGGTATGTGACAGTATTAATATATTTATTGTGTAAGGATTTATTATGTAAAGTTGGTGTATTCTAAATTCATCCAAAAACTATCTGGACTAAAAGTATGCTATCTATTAAAATAAAAAAGAAAAAATAGGTCTCAAAATGACTTGAGAAATTAAGACATTATTTTTGTCAGTAACATAATTATATAGAAGTCTCAGTTTAAAAGATGGGTTATAATTGTTAAAATATGGTTAAAAAGACTTATTAGTCTACTAAATGTAATTTGACAATTAAATATGCATCTGTACTTACACAGTTTAAAAATTTTAGATTTTTTTGTTGACTTAATCTTTTATCACTGAAATATTTATGTAGCTATACATTTACGATTTTTTTTTTAAGTTAAGCACTGTCCTAATGTTGCTCAACTTAAAGTGCAGTAATAACTGGTAGGAACTATGTGGACAGAGATAATTACCAGGATAACTTAATACGTTGCAATTAGCGTGTTAGCAACTTCCTTCAGACTGACAGATTTTGTAAGCAGAACACTGTTTGACTGCATAATTGACATGAGAAATTCAACCAACCCAAGGATGTTATTATATACATAATTTTTAAAATGAAGGTTTATCAAGTTGATTGATGAATAAATAATCTTTTCTAATAGTTTAGAATAAAAATGGCATCCTAAAGAATATATTTTTTACTTATATTTATAAATATTTATAACATTTATATATATTATAATATGTTATATATTGTATATACTATTTATGATATGTATATAAAATAATATTTATCTTATAAATATTATTTTAAATATTTCCATTATGAAACAGTCCCTAAGATAGAGTACACTATGTCTCTCTATCTTAAAACCATCATAAGGAAACCAAAGTTATTGAAGGAAAAAAAAAAAAAATAGGCCAAAAATACCTGTAGAGTTCCACACATCCGGCAAGATCAGGCGTTCAGGTCCTGGTTACGTTAACAGTCAAGAGTTTAAAATTCATAAACACTCATGCCAAATGTAGGTACTTGTTCACTGCTGCAGGCTTTTCTTCAGCCTCCTGTTAGAGGGTAGGCAGAAATCTTAATATAATCCTGGAGAAAACCATCTGTAAATTATCTATAACTGTCCTGGTGGATATTTAGGGCTTTTAAAATTTAATTTCTGATTGAAATCACTTAAGCTCTTTCTATCCATCTCAATTCAGAGACAGTCACTTTGTACACATTTAAGTGGAGGAAAAGCCCAATAAAGACATGTCTTGGCGCCCCTTGACTTTTCCCAAGTGGAATGAAGTGATGGTGAGTCTCCATGTCCCTGTGCTGAGGTCCAGCCTGGCCACCAGCTCATCTGCCAATATCTTCTGGCCCTGGTTTCCCATGGGCAGGAACGGGTGAGACACACCCATCACTTTTTGTATGAACCACCTAAACGCTCACGTCCTCAAACCACGGTGAGGTGAACAGAATCCATGGTGATGTGGCAGTGATGCCCCGTCCAGTGGAATGGGGTAGGCAGTGAAGATGAGGTGGGGGACATTTTACATATAAGTAGGCACTGAACAAACTCCACATTGAATGACACATTCAGGTAAGACATCCCCTCCATCATCAGTCAGTGTACCTAATGCTGGCTCTAGAATTTGCTGCAAGTGGACAACTCAGTCATCTTCGTGTACATATTTTTCTCTGGAGAATCACATGCAGAAATAACCTGAGAACTCTTTCTCATAACCGTACCTCACACAGCAGTCCTTCCTCCCAACCTATTCTTAACACGCGTGTGCGTCAAGAGTTGTAGACAGCACTCCCTCTGGCCCTCCTGGCCACCAGTGGGTGCCTTTCCTACAACAAGCCATTCTGCGACACCACTGGATAGTCTCCCTGAGGAGAGCTTCTGATCCCACCGATGAAACTCCTGGGCCCACAAGGCTGCCCCTGCCCTGCCCCAGCTTGGATGCCAGTCCCAAGTCCAGACTGTCACTGGTGCCCCTCATTGACTGGCTACGATTCAGAAGGTCTCCATGACTCCCTCCTCCTCCTGGATGAGTTTACTAGAGCGACTCACAGAACCCAGGAAAACATTGTACTTACAAGATTGCAGATCAGGGGTGCCTGGGTGGCTCAGTTGTTAAGTGCCTGCCTTCGGCTGGGGTCATGACTCCAGGGTCCTGGGATCAAGCCCTGTGTCGGGCTCCCTGCTGGGCGGGGAACCTGCTTCCTCCTCTACCACTCTCCCTGCTTCTTTTCCCTCTGTCTCTCTCTGTCAAATAAATAAATAAATAAAATCTTAAGGAAAAAAATAAAAAAGGTTACAGATCAGTAGAGGCTATAACTCAGACACAGCCAGATGGAGCAGATGCAGAGGATGAGGTGGGTTGGAAGGTGAGCAGAAAGTTGTATTCTCTCCAGGAGAACCATCCTCCCAGCTCCCCAAGTGTTCACCAACCCAGAAGTTCTCCAGACCCCAGGCTTTGGGGGTTTTATGGAGTCTTCATTACAGATGTATGATGATTAAATCGCGGGCCAGTGGTGATTAAGTCGACCTCCAGCTCCTCAGTTCTATGAAGGTTAGGATGGAGCTGAGATTTCCCGTTCTCTGATTACTTGCCTGGTTCCCCGGCAACTAACTCCATCCCTGGGTGCTTTCCTAGTCACCTTATTAATAGCTCAGGTGTGATCAAAAGGGTCTTGTTATGAATAATGAAGGATGCCTTTATGTCTTTTATCCCTTAGCTTTTATCCAAGGTTTCCAGAGCCCTATGCCAAGAGCAGGGAGGAAGACCGAATATTTGTTTCTTACTAGAAATCACATCACAGTGTGCACTCCCAAATACAAGAACGACTGTGTGTCTAGTGACTCTTCAGCTCCTGGAGTGGGGGACAGTCTGACACGCACATCACGTCCGATTGTGAAGTGTAGTGCCTAGTACGCCCATGTGCTCTGTCCGGCCAGCTGGCGGCCTCCCTTGTCCCTCTGTGGCCAGGCTCCCAGGCTGGCAGTGAGGGGCTTTGAGGTGCCCAGCTTGGTAGGGCTATGCCCATCCTCTGGTGACCAGGTGCCCCTCACAGTGGCTTTAATGACTGATTACCTCAGGATTCACCCACCTTAGATCCCACATCCTCTGTCCCTGTGGACTTTGGGTGACTTTCCGCCCAGATGTGGAAATCTAAATATGCCTTTGGGGCCACAGCAGGAACGGTGAAGCCTTCTCTGTGAGCACAGACAGCTCAGGGGAAGAGAAGGAAACTTCCCCTCATGTTTCTTGGGATCCTCTTTTCTCCGCTCTAGAGTCCACAGCAGCATTTGCCTCGAGGAATGTTACGTGCGTTCATGGAATGTTATTAGCTCACGTGACAAGTAGGGCTTGTTCTTTCCCTCATTGGACTTGCACAAGTAGACTTTTATACTCAGCCTTTGCTCTGTAGCTTCTCCATCACTACCTTCTCCGCTCTGTCCCCCGCTCTAACCCCACACGTCCTGGTCCATGATACACTCTCAGCAAACACTCCTAGAATACGTAAATGGTGGACCTGTTATTTGACTACCACACGTAAATCATGGCAAGGCTATCTTTGTTCAACGTCCTACAGCTATTAAGTGACGTAAAGAACATTAGAAGCCAGAAATGTGTCGTCCCAAGGAAATTACCGTATTGTTTCTTTTGCCCTTGGAAAGGCTTTATCCTTTATGTTTGTTTTGTCTTGTTTTTTCCCCATTGGGAAGGGTGCGCCTATGTTTAATATGGTTATACGAGTATAAGATTCACCTTGAAAGGTGAAAATGCACTAGGGAAGCCTTGGAGATTACAGATTATCAGTCAGGAGCAGGTGCAGACCCTCACGTCCCCAGGAGGTGTGCCGGCCCCTCCCTTCAGCGCACTCGGTACGGAAAAACTTTGTGGTGACTGTCTTACTCGGTGTTGGCCCATCTGCTCTTTACTGTCTCTTATTTATTGTGATGTGATCTCGGCCCTGGGGAGTTGTGGGAGTGGACTGTGGGTAAGGGTGAAAAGGAGCACCGTCCCTGACTTCTAGTCGCTGACCCACAGTGGTGAGAGTAGATAGCCCCATGACAGGGGAACAAACGTGGCCGGCCAGAGCCCAGCTGCCTTCAAGGTGGAAGGACATTTGAGTTGAGCTGAGAAGAAATGGACCAGCTCAGCCTGGAAGCAGAGTAGGAGAAAAGCCTTTGAACTTTTCATACAGAGTGAACATTTGCGTGAAGTTTGGAGGTGAGACAAAGTATGACATCTTCTGGGGACACTGACTAGCTCCTGATGACCCCAGACTAGATCATGGCCCCATTTCACAAATTATAGCTGTCCCTGTGCTTTGCTTTATTAGTTTACAAAGCAAGGTTTGGGGCCTGCCTCCAAACCCACTTATCAATATTCATGCCTTAACATTTCTAAAATGTTCTCCACGGTGCCTTCTCCTAATGACTCTGTCCAAAACCTGGGCCGGATTCAATGTATTTTCCACCGGAACATTCCCCAGCCCCTTAAATATACCTACGCCTCTGTGTGATGAACACAGCAGCGTACCATGTACCGCCTCATGCCATGTCATCGCTCACTGTTTTCTACTGAAGGTTCGTTTCTCTCGTTTTATGATGTAGTTTCACCAGTTTTGCCACCTAAATTTGACACCTTTCATAACAAGTCTTCGAAAGCTCCAGAAGATTCATGCTAGTGGCAGGCACTCTGACCCCTCTATCAGAGTTTGGTTGATTAAAAAGTCTACTTCATTTGTGACTTTGATGTATCATACTGCTCTCCGAGTGTCGTAATGTGTCTCAGATTATGCTGCTGATATGTAGTCACTTCATTTTCCCCTAGATAAGACAAAATAATTGCCATGGCAACAGAAAATAACAATTCATTAAATAAAATAAAATAGGCTGATTAGGGATTGTGAGTCTTGGCAGAGATGAAAGCTGGTGAGAGGAGGAAAAGCTTCAAGAAAATACTACGTATATCATTTTCTCTCATTTCTTCAGGTATAGATCTGCCAAGAATTGATAGTTTTTTTTTTTATTTAGGCAAATAGACGTGGATACCACCCTTTTAGGCAGTTAAATATGTTTTAGAAATCTCACTTAAAACAACAACACAATTTCCATGATTTATTTATGCATCATTTCCATGTAATTCCTCATATCACATAGCACAGTGGATTATCAGCTCGGTCACAGAAGATAATTGAGTGACTGAGTAAGGGCCTTTTTTTTCAATTACATGGGAATGACTTTATCCTGAAAGGATTTTGGGTGTTTGAAGAATATATTAAATGGAACTTCGATAACTTAGTTTAGAAGTATAATTCTTCTAAGGTTTTAAGACTCTAGGGGAATTACTTTGACAAAGTAGCTACTGAGAAATAGTTCACCATTATTTCTCATAAGGAAAATTTTGGCAAAGGACTTTAGAGACTTAAAAATGTTTAACTGTGTCCTTTCTAAAGTTGACTGTATTGGGGCTTAATTTTCTTTGCTTCCTTTTCAGCTCCTTGTGGATATAATGTAACATCTCCGAATGGTACCATTTACTCCCCTGGATTTCCAGACGAGTACCCAATCCTGAAGGACTGCATTTGGCTGGTCACCGTCCCTCCCGGCCATGGGGTCTACATCAACTTCACGTTGCTACAGACGGAAGCCGTGAATGATTACATTGCTGTCTGGTAGGGGAGCCTTTCTGTGTGAACTCACCTGTGATTGTGTCAAACCATTCTCGCAACCACGGACATGGGGCTTTGATGTCAGTTTACACATTAAGAAGTGAAGTTTTTAGGTAGATATTGGAAAGGATATTTACCAAGGAAATCAAGTGATATGGAGAATAAATGTCATGTGACATGTTTGCATTTTGTTAATTCAGGATTCCTCTGAATAGAGATTACCCCAACATAATTGGATTATACATTTTTTTGTAAGTGCGATTTTTCTTTTTTTATAAAAGAAAAGTTGGTTAGGAATCTTCGCCATGATAAGAATTTGGTGCTCCTGGAAGTATTGAAGAGATAATTACACACAGCCCTCCAGCCATCCTTTGTACACACGGCAGGACTGCCCTTCCATATGATGTGCAGGAAGTGACACTGAGCCAGCTCAGGCCTGGGGATCTGGGTTCTGGTTCTCTTTCCAAGGAGTCATGTGGCCTTGAGTAATTACTTACGTGAACCTTGGCTACATTTTCATGTCCTTGGGAATGACTGCCCTACCTTTGCTTTTGGAAGTGAGAGGTTATAGGGGACACAGAGATTGACAAGTCCTCTGATACTACGATGGGAGAAGGAGGGAGGACCAGTGGGGTGTGAGAAGGTGAGCTCGACCCAGGCTTGAAAAGCAAGTTGTGCCGCCAGAAAATATTTCCATGAAAACCACGGATTTATGGGAGGTAGCAATGTGGTATGCATGTGTGTGTGTGTGTGTGTGCCTCGGAAGTTGGTGTAGAAAGTTGGTGTAAATGGTACGGGTTATTGTGGATATTGGAAAGCCTTTACAGTGAGGGGATAGGTGACTTCAGGGTATTGGAGGTGTCTGGGATGGGTTTTATGGGGTCCAAGTGAGCAGGACAGAGAGTACAGGAACTTAAAAATCACGTGAAAGATCCCAGGCTTAGTTCTAAGAGTGATGAGGATTCGCTAGGGTTTTAGGAAGGGGAGTCACTGGCTGCAGAATTCCCAGTCTTGTTTTGTGGGAAATGTATCCACTGAGGGCAAGAAGGGAGACCGGCTTCTGATGCTCTAGAAGTAACTCTTGCAGGGAGGAGAGATTGGCAGAACCAGTGGCTGAGGGGTGAGGGGGAATGGGGAACCTGAAATATTAAGTTGGTTTTATGAAGCTGCTCTTTTGAAAGCCTGGCAAAACAAGAACCACAACATTATACCACCAGCCGTTTCACCTGGATTAACCTATAGATTCAGCAGGTAGAAGCAAAAGCTCCTCATAGTCAACCAAGTGCAGTTGATTGTCAGAGCCCTAATGAGAAAGAGACCAAGGAGGCTGGTCAACTTTGTGACATTAAACACTCGCTGTTTCTAAACACTGTGTCCACAAGACGGTAGTATTTTATTCAGTTTGTTAAAAACACAAAAATTCAGCTGAGTAAATTTGAAGATCTAATTGGTTTTATTTATCGATTCCTGACTCAGGTTAACACTCTGTTGGGCAGGAGAGAGGCGCTCTGAGGAGTTAGGTGTACACAATGGAAGATTCTTACAGGAAGAGGGTGAGGCAAGACATTGTTAGCAGGAGAAAGGATTGTTTCAGGCAAGGTCACCTTCCCTGAGGGGGAGGGGCTGGCGGTCTCATCATGCAGTTTACCTCATCTTGGGGGGGGGCAGGGGGGCTGGGCACTGATGGAGACCTTCCATGTGACTTAATTGATGCTAAACATTTCTGAATGATTGGCTTAAACATTGACTCCAAGAGTAGCAGAAAGTGCAATTAAGTGTTGCTTTGCTATCCTGGGGCAAGAAACTGGACCTTCACACTGTCATTTCCTTTTTAACAAAGTCTTAACAACTTTGTACTTCAATAGCAAGATCTCCACAAATTTCACCCATCGTTAAAGAGACACCATGGAATTGAGACTTTCAAACATGGACGTTTGAAAGGCAGCTGATACATGGTATTACAGTCACTAGAGGCAGTAACGTGTCTCTGTTAGGGCTCTGAAAAGGTCTGCAGTGGGGTGAGTAAAGTCAGCCCCAAGATCTCCAGGTGTGAGCACCAGCTCCATCCCCTGGAGCCCAGGCTCAGACCAAGCTGCTTGGGCCAGGATGGAAGCCACGTGTTGGAAGAAAATGGTTGTTGGTTTCAGCTGTGATTAGGAACTTCCTCCTCAAACTTCCTGTCTTCCCTAGGGATGGGCCTGACCAGAACTCACCTCAGCTGGGAGTTTTCAGTGGCAACACAGCCCTGGAAACGGCATACAGCTCCACCAACCAGGTCCTGCTCAAGTTCCACAGCGACTTTTCCAACGGAGGCTTCTTTGTTCTCAATTTTCACGGTCAGTGCATTCTCACCTTGTCAATTAAGGCGAAGAATTCCATTTGGTTCTCCTGGTAGTGTTGACATATGGCTCCTTTCCAGCTAGAGTTCCTTGATCTTGCCAAGCGAGAGCCTTCTGGGACTTTCTTGCTTTCTTGCCAGAGGTCCCTGTGACCCTCTTTTGCTTAATGTTGTTTGTGGATGGCACATCTGGTGTGTGGTAAGCTTGGACTCATTCCAAGAGAAGCATATTGCTGGGAGACTCAGATATGGAGACCCTTGAAATCAATTTAGTACCTTTCCTAGATGTCCTGTGTCTGCCTGCAGAGGAGTCAAGGTAGCAAATGCCACAGAGTTACAGATGAGGCAACAGGGAATTAAGTGATTTTGAAAACCAATAATTTGGAGAAAAGTGTATCAATCCCTTATATCTCATGAGGACTGCACCCATGGAAGTCGTCAGCGTGGGGTTCCGAGAGGGACCTTAGCAGATGTAAATGTGGACCTGGCACCAGGCCATGGGTGAACCATTTCCTTCCAGAATCCCCAAAATTATGTAAAGTGTCTTTATTTAAATGCCCGAATTTTTAAAACTGTACCCTTTTCCCCTTTGACTTTACATATTCATGGCATGAAATAATCCTGTAAACTTGGGAATGTTCTAAAACGATGATTTACAGATGTAGACCTCGCAGTGTACCTGGGCATTAAAACAATGGAAGCAGAAAGCTTTTTGTAATAATTTTGTTTATTCAGCAAATGTAATTGCAGTTGTTTGTTTGTTTGTTTTTTCTATAAACCCTTTAGCATTTCAGCTCAAGAAATGCCAACCTCCCCCCTCGGTTCCACAGGCAGAAATGCTTACGGAGGATGAGGATTTTGAAATAGGTAATGTGTTCTTTGTTGCAACACCATTAGCTCAGCCCAACTTCTTTAACACTCACCCTCACTGCGATAATTACTCACGTGAGTAAGTGAGTATTTGTCAGAATGTCCTAAAGCATTGCTAGGGGGTTCATTCATCGAAGAAATATGCTTTTCTTCCTCCACTGCCATGGTGTGTGTTTTTAGCTATTTGAACTTTGCTTCTGTCATCTGAGCATATCCTCACCTCACCAGGCCCACCAGCATTTGCTAGCTTGTATATTTTTCTTTTAAGAAAAGTTTTCCGAGACAGACTTAAACGGATATTTGCGTTTAGTTAGGAAAGGATGTTCACACAGAAGAAGGACTTAACCATTTGTAGCTAAAACAATGATGACTATGACTTTAACCTTTCATTGAAACCGGAATGTAATTGGTGAATGTATTTAATGGTAATATTTAGAAATTCTGCTTTATCATTCCATATTAATGGCGAGTTTCATTAAATAACCATCAGGTCACATTAGGTGACCCGCTGCGGCATATGTCTGTGGTGTAATTACTGTGACCCAGGATTTCTCTGTCTCAACTACAAACACAACACTGTGTTTTCCCCCCGAGTTTCAGACTGCTGATCAAACCACGTGACCCAGTTTCTGCTCTCCTCCTAATGGCTCAGTTAATGGGAACATTGTGCTAATTAGGCCAAGGTCGCAGGTTAGCCTTCTCTGGGTGCATTGAAGCCATTCTGTGCTACATCTGTAAATCCCAAGCAATCCCAATCCACCTTCTTTTTTTGAATAGTAATCATGGGGGAAGGGGTGGGACCACAGACACATTAGTCTGTGACAAAACCTGCCCCATTCGCTGTCTGGTATCTGGGAAGACAGCGTTTTTATAAGTCAAGAAGTGACAACAGTCCCCTTTGATTAAACAAACTAGAAATGAATCCCGATATGGGTTCAGAAGTGGTTTGCTCACTGACGTCATTCAGTAGGTGGCCATCTCGACCTTTCCTGCCCTCACTCACAGGGTGTGTCACGGAAACGTAGTCCCACGTGTGCTCTGTTGGCTCTTGCAGGGGACTTCGTGAAGTACCAGTGCCACCCTGGGTACACGCTGTCTGGGACAGACACCCTGACCTGTAAGCTCAGTGCCCAGCTGCAGTTTGAAGGTGCTCTCCCAACGTGTGAAGGTATGCACAGCTCGCGGCGGCCTGCGCCTTTCCCATAGAGTTGTGAACTGGATCTCTGTGGCATGATCTCCTTGCAAATCAGATCACCTGCCAACAAATACCTAATTACCTTTCTCCTTCAGCTACGTGTAAAATACAAATCAAAGCATATCAAATAAGAGGTCTTTTCTTCCCCAGTAGCTTACCAGAAGATTTTCAAATAAATGGCTAAGTTAAAACAATTTAGAAATAGGGACGCCTGGGTGGCTTAATGGGTTAAGCCTCTGCCTTCAGCTCAGGTCATGATCTCAGGGTCCTGGGATCAAGCCCCGCATCAAACTCTCTACTCAGGGAGTCTGCTTCCCCCTCTCTCTCTGCCTGCCTCTCTGCCTACTTGTGAAGTCTCTGTCAAATAAATAAATAAAATCTTAAAAATAATTTAGAAATAACGGTCTGAATACCTACCACCGAGGTTCCACGATCAATGTACTCTATATATCCTTAGTCATGTGTCTCTTATCTTTCTATCCATCCATTAATGTTGCTTTTGATGCATTTCAAGGCAAATTACAGGCATCACGGCACTTCCCTCTAAATACATTAGTATCTGTAAAATTATCTAGTACTTACTATTTTTTCTGTAAGATTTATAAGCATTGAAATGCACGTGGGGCATATGATAAAGTGCACATATATCATACATTCACACGTCTGTAAAACACACAGGACACATGCAATAACAAAATACACAATAGCGCAAGATTTGAGGCTGAATCTATTGATTTAACTGATTGAAGTATTTAAGTAGATCACTTTTTTTTTATTTCTTTTCAGCGTAACAGTATTCATTGTTTTTGCACCACACCCAGTGCTCCATGCAATCCATGCCCTCTCCAATACCCACCACCTGGTTCCCCCAACCTCCCACCCCCCACCTCTTCAAACCCTTCAGACTGTTTTTCAGAGTCCATAGTCTCTCATGGTTCACCTCCCCTTCCAATTTCCCTCAACTCCCTTCTCCTCTCCATCTCCCAATGTCCTCCATGTTATTCCTTATGTTCCACAAGTAAGCGAAACCATATGATAATTGACTCTCTCTGCTTGACTTATTTCACTCAGCATAATCTCCTCCAGTCCCGTCCATGTTGCTACAAAAGTTGGGTATTCATCCTTTCTGATGGAGGCATAATACTCCATAGTGTATATGGACCACATCTTCCTTATCCATTCGTCCGTTGAAGGGCATCTTGGTTCTTTCCAGTTTGGCGACCATGGCCATTGCTGCTATGAACATTGGGGTACAGATGGCTCTTCTTTTCACTCCATCTGTATCTTTGGGGTAAATACCCAGTAGTGCAATTGCAGGGTCATAGGGAAGCTCTATTTTTAATTTCTTGAGGAATCTCCACACTGTTACACTGTTGGTGGGAATGCAAGTTGGTGCGGCCACTTTGGAGAACAGTGTGGAGATTCCTTAAGTAGATCACTTTAGTCTATTTGAAAGTCTCTACTCTCAAGTAGTATTGGGGCAATAAACACTTGAAAAAATATAAGTACACTAAAATATCTCAATATAAGTCAGAAGTGTCATGGTTTGGCCAATCGGAAAGCTTTCCAAATTAGAATAGTTTTGAGTTTGTGACTTCAAAATCACAATAAACATTCAATTCATTTAAAGAATGGGACCACCCCCGTTTCAAGGAATTTGAACATTATCATATGATATAAGCACCTAAAAGGCCCCAAATTTAGGAAGAGAAGACCCAGTGACTCAGCATAGACCCCCAACAAGTGACCGCAGGTGAATCATTAATCCCTTGGGCATCGAGTGTAAGGAGGATGGTCGATCGGCCTTATTTGTGAGATTTTTGTGAAGATGCAGAGAACATTAAGTGGTCATTGCAGGAGTTCTAATGTGGATTGTCAGCCCCACTAAGAGGTAACTTCCTTTGCACTGTGGTAGTATTGATTTTGCTCATGCCCCCACACTTGAATGGAGTCTCCTAGATTGTGCGCTCACTTCCTGCGTCCTCCTGCATGAGGCAGAATCCTAGCCACCTGGGGAGAGGGAGGCGATTCTCAGCATCTGAAGAAAATCCGGAATGCCGTGGTCTTAAGTAACCATGACAGCTCAGATAATTCTAAGAAACATTGCTTTCAGATTGTACCTCGGGGAGCACAGGGGGGTGTGGGCAAAGACCATCCCCTCAGAAGTACACCCTTTTCGGTCCATGGGATGCTTTAGCCACTTGGAGGACCCACACAGTTCTGGAAGTCACTGGCACTTTGCCTCACCCCTGCCTCATTTAAAATTGGGGCACCGCTCGGGGTGATAAGTCAGGAGACTGAGTCATTACTTTTTAGGAACAAATCAGTGTGTCTGTACCATATTACATCAGCAACAACCACCTACAGTGTTGTTTTTTTTTTTTTCCCTCAAGGTGCAAGGGGATATAAAATATTCATCTTTTTCCATTTTACATAGAAATTATCTGAGGTAAACCTTCACATTTTTAGGGCACATCTTAATTCCAACAAACAGCCTAAAATTTCTCAGCATAGATGATTTCAAACAAGGGTGGTCTTAGTTGATGAGTGAAGAAAGGCATACATATTTATTTAATATGCTACTTCAAAAAGAGGGAAAATTACTTTATTATGTTGGCTATCCCCAAGACTAACCTCATTTTTATTTAAGTGAAATTAATTCATGACAGTCCAGGAACTGAGTAAATCAGCACAACATGAGCATCGTTCTCTAAATTTCTTGGCTCTCGGGCGCCTGGGTGGCTCAGTGGGTTAAGCTGCTGCCTTCAGCTCAGGTCATGATCCCAGGGTCCTGGGATGGAGTCCCGCATCGGGCTCTTTGCTCAGCAGGGAGCCTGCTTCCCTTCCTCTCTCTGCCTGCCTCTCTGCCTACTTGTGATCTCTGTCTGTCAAATAAATAAATAAAATCTTTAAAAAAAAATAAATAAAAAAATAAATTTCTTGGCTCTCACACATGGTTGCAGGGAGGATTCTGCTAACAAGACATGTTCTCTCTGCTCAGACCGAGTTCCCGTGTCCTACTGAACACCCAGCAGTTACTGCAGAGGACAACGTAGTTCTCTACTGTTTCTATTCAGGAGTAAATATCTTTAAAACAAGATATTTTAACAAGAGTTATTAAGAGATATTAAAACAAGGGGCACCTGGGTGGTCTGTCAGTTAAGCTTCTGCCTTCACCTCAGGTCCTGATCCCAGGGTTCTGGGATCAAGCCCCACATCGGGCTCCCTGCTCGGTGGGGAGCCTGATTCTCTCTCCCTTAGCCTGCTGCTCCCCCTGCTTGAGCTCTCTCTCTCTCTCTGCAAAATAAATAAATAAAATCTTAAAAAAAAAGAGATATTATAACAAGATATTAAAAGATATTAAAACAAGAGTTATCTAAATGCATTCTGTAAGAAAAAGAATGAGGGGCTCAGATGTCTTTTATCAAATAATCATTTAATAATAACCTTTCTTCCAGCACTTTCTAAAATTATTTGGTTGGTCTCAAGGGGAGGGAGTGGTTAATCCTGTGATAAATTATAGGTGGAAAATTGTGTGAGTTATGAGTCCTACTAAGTTTTGCTTTGAAAATTGTTTCCAGAGGCACCTGGGTGGCTCAGTGGGTTAAGCCTCTGCCTTCGGCTCAGGTCATGATCTCAGGGTCCCAGGATTGAGTCCCTCATCACATTAAGATGTGCCCTAAAAATGTGAAGGTTTACCACCTTGCTCAGAGGGAAGCCTGCTTTCCCTTTCCCTCTGCAGTGCTCCCTGCTTGTGCTTGTTTTCTCTCTGTCTCTATCAAATAAATAAATAAAATCTTTAAAAGAGATCTAAAAAAATGAAAATTATCACCACTTAGAGGGTGATTGATTGTTCCTTGGGTACAGTGGGAGCAAATTATTCCTTGAAAATTAGCATCCCATGCAGATACACCTTGTTGGATGTCCATCTTAATTTAGGAAACATTGAATGAGGGTCTGAAATGTTTTCCAGAACCACCAAGCTATTCTCCCAGTCTCTCTGAACATGAGCTGAGTGCACTACAGTTGAAATCAATTCTGACACTCTCTGCCTGGAGACAGTGTCTGACCCCACAGGTTAAGGGCTCAGTCCTAAAAGACTGCTCCCACTTCGTAGGCCCGTCACAAAGCCAACTTGTCATCTGTGTTTCTGACGGAACTGCTGCAGATCAGAATCACTCATAATCCCCTCTTTGGATTTTATCCTATGCTAGAAGAGCTTATATAACCCAGGGAAATATTTACTTAGATTTAGCATTGCAATTATAGTATTGTGAAGAATTCCAATCTGTATCCTTCACTACAGAAAGGGGACAGGTGAAGAGTCAGAGGAAGAGGTACACGGTGCAGGGTCTGGAGGGGTCTCAGCACAGGAGCTTCTGTGCCCTGGATTGGGGTCTAAGAATTTTTATAGAGCTAATCATCACTTTTTTTTTTTTTTTAATTAAGAAACATGTATTTTCAGTGAATGCTAAAGACAGCCAGTGCCCTTTGAATAATGAGCACTTCTTGGAGAGCTCAAGGATGACCCTAAGACACAGATCAAGGGCTCCCAGAGACACCTTTGCCACTGGTCTATAGGGTTCTCTTTTCACAATTCTCTGGGACCTACAGGTGCTTTTAAGAATTAGTTTCCTTTGTTTGTAAATCCTAACATTTGGTTGCTTGACTTTTGCTGAAGCCCTGAAAGAGGCTTCAAACAATATGGTTTGGTTTTAAGCCTCACATTTCTTTTTTCGTCAAAAACAAGCTGAAGGAATAACTTCTTGCAGAGGTGTGGTAACTCAACATTCAGGTGCCTGTCTCAGAGAGGCTCGTGCCTTCAGAGGTGCCTTTGATGGGAACCTCCAACAGATGCTTCCACAGGCGGGAGGTAGTCAGGGTCCCCTGCGGTACTAAAACGCAGGGCTGTGTTGTAAGTGTGAGTGCTGGTAGAGAGTGAACAGCCTGGCCCAGGGAGAGCCTGTGGTCTCTGAAACTTCCCACCCTGGCTGGGCGCTGCTCCTAGCAACACTTTATAGCAAGGCCCAGGAAGGTCTAGGCACGTATGAAGGAGCAAGAGACACAAATGAATTAAAACCACGTTCGCTCCCAGGGAGACATACTCAAGTGCATTTTAAACCAATACGTACGTCTGGAAAAAATAATAAGTGTTGTAAGAAAAAGGAAGCACATTCTTTCAGTTGTATTTTCATTCCTTCTTCTCCCAGCAATAGAAGCAGCATTTTGGGGAAACTGGAGGGAGTGAGAATAGGCTTGAGATAGTCATCACCACTCACTCCTTTCCCAGCCTGGCACAGACTCCAGCTCTGCAGGTGGATTTCGGCAACGTGGCGGTCGGTTTCCAGTTTCTAGATGATCGGAACTTCCAGTGTTGCCTAATAACGATAGTGGCAGTGATGCAATAAGAAGGTCGCGATTTGGGCTAAATGTTTTCGGGCATCATAGCACAGAACGAACTGTGCTGGGGCTGCAGCAGCTTTAGTCAGGAGGAGGCAGGAGGTGGTCTGTGCCTCGCGGGTGTGGAAATGCCTTCTGCCCGTGAAGTGCTTCAGACCGAAGGAAAGGGTTTGCGTGTATCTCTCTGATCATGACCCTGACAAGTAGCTTTGCTGCTGTCTGGTTACGTCACGGCTGAGAAACGCTCATAGTCTCATGGTGAAGCCGAGCGGGTCGGAGGACATTCTGAAGCTCCAGGCCCTATACATATGCATGTGGATGAAAGGCTAGTTGTCTTCTACTGTGTTCTCTTAAAAAATGCCAATGTTCATTTTTGAAAGGGCATAATATATTTCACTGAGTGACCTCACCACCCTACTGTATATAGAAATTACTTTCTAAACAAAATTGCTTTAGTCTGAGTGTTTTGGCTTTATTTGACGGACAGAGATCACAAGTAGGCAATCACAAGGGCTACCCAATTTAACATTGTAAATACTCTTTTTTTTTAAAGATTTTATTTATTTATGTGACAGAAAGAGATCACAAGTAGGCAGAGAGGCAGGCAGAGAGAGGGGGAAGCAGGCTCCCCGCTGAGCAGAGAGCCTGATGCGGGGCTCGATCCCAAGACCCTGGGATCATGACCTGAGCCGAAGGCAGAGGCTTTAACCCACTGAGCCACCCAGGTGCCCCAACATTATAAATATTCTTAAAAATCTGCCTAAAATACTTCTTTACCAAAAAGGTTCTAGGAAATGTTTCATTGTTAGCGATCTTATGCATAAACATTTTGTAAATTTAAGGTACATCTGAATAAGAACACTAAGGTAAATTTTTAAAAATTTAAAATTTTTTAGGGACGCCTGGGTGGCTCAGTTGGTTAAGCAGCTGCCTTCGGCTCAGGTCATGATCCCAGTGTCCTGGGATCGAGTCCTGCATCGGGCTCCTTGCTCGGCAGGGAGCCTGCTTCTCCCTCTGCCTCTGCCTGCCATTCTGTCTGCCTGTGCTTGCTCTCTCTCCCTCTCTGACAAAAAAAAAAAAAAAAAAAATTAAAATTTAAAAAAAAATTTTAAAAGGAAAAAATTTCCTTTTAAATTTAAATAAATTTTTTTTAAATTTAAAAAGGAAAAAATTACTTTTTAAAATTTAAAAAAATTTAAAAATTTTAAAAGGAAAAAATTTCCTTTTAACAGTTACTTGAATCAAAACATATTACATAAACTTCACTCATCTTTTTGGGAAATCATTTCAAAATTTATGTATTACTAATGTAAATTTAATTAATTAAAATGAAATTAATTAAATTTAATAATATAATTTTAATTAATTAAAAGGAGATAATTCAACAAATAAGACACATTTCCTGTAATGAAAATCCTTTCTCATGAAGGAAAAGCTGATCATTTAACTTTAAAATTTACAAATTGTTTTGCTATATCTCTGTTAAATTTGAATCATTATCAATAAATGATATAATTTTTTCTTAATAGTTGTATAAATAAATTATTTCTGAAAGATAATTAAATTATCAATTAAATAAATTACTAATTAGGAGTCTGGTGATTTTCTTTTGCCTCTTCATACCTAAGCAGATCAGTTTTATTTTGATTACCTTAAAAGTAGTTGAATAAAGAAAAAAAGGAAAGCAGGAGGGAAAAAAGTATGTCAGTGTGTCCACACTATCTTAATGATTCATTCGTAATGATAAAATCATAAGTGATTCATTTTGATAAATTCATCCTTTAGAAATCACATCGTTACAACCCAGATATCCGATATGGCTTTCAGCCCAGGACTTTCTGACTCATCTCTTATCATAGTGTCAAGAAATCAAGTCAAATTTTTAAAATTTACTGTTGTAAATATAATCACAAGTATAATTAAAGGCATAAATAAATGCATTTTTCTACTACTGTATATAATTGCACAACGTTTTTGTAATATTGCATTGAAAAGGCACGATCTTGCTTTTTTAGTTGAGTTGAGAAAACATGGGACCCTAAGATCAAATCTGCAAAGCACCTGCCCCAAAATAAGGTGTGTGGGCAATTCCGTCCTAGAAGGTTACTACGGACGGAAGGTACAGGATGGTTTTAAGCATTCCTGTACCTGTACTTCCCACTTCACTCACAATGGGCAGATCAGCATTGCTTCATGACCTTTTCCAGATAAACAAAGCTTTCAGGTTCCAGGCTTCTTTTCAGCTTTGTCAGATTGGGCTACCCTAGAGTTGTGTCAGTGACATAATGTCTTTGATCCTACATTTCCTTAATGGTAAATGAAATCAATCAATCAATCTATCTATCTGTCTAGTCACCCTATGTCCCAACAACATTTCTATATGTATGTAATTCTCATTTAAATTACAGAGTGCTAGTAAAGTGTGACTTGTTATCATTTAGTGCTGTTCTGCTGTGTTTCTACCCTGTATTAAATCTGGTCATAGTTCAGTAGGGTCGTTCCCCCTCCACCGCCATTGGCTTATAAATACAGAGATAGAGACTCTCCCACTGACGTTGGGTTCACTTTGTTAAGGAAGACTCTTACCGGCATGTTTCTCATTAGCACAATGCCCTGCGAATGAAGTCCGGACGGAGTCCTCTGGAGTCATCCTCAGTCCTGGTTACCCGGGCAATTACTTTAACTCCCAGACATGCTCATGGAGTATTAAAGTGGAACCGCACTACAACATCACCATCTTCGTGGACACATTTCAAAGTGAAAAGCAATTTGATACCCTGGAAGTATTTGATGGTAAGTTTCTTTGCCTTTTTTTTTTTTTTAACCGACCAGTGATCTCTATGGAGTGTAATAAAAACACCACCATGACGCTTTTACTACACGAGGGCTTTCATATATTCTTGAGTTGAACTGTATCTCCTCTGAACAGAAAATAAATTATTCCACCCTGGTAGAGTCTCAAGAGTCTGGAACATGAACCTACTTTTGTTAATGTTTCAACTTTTAAGCAACTGATATGCTAACAATGCACTGTGATAATGTCCTGAATTTACTTGAACTATTATTTAATTTTTTCTGTGGAGATTTAGAGTAGACCCCATACAGCTCTTCCTTTCTCTCTTTCAAGTATTCTATTGATGCAGAAGATATTTTAGGAAATTTAAGAGAGGTAAAGGTACTTTAATCCATTTAGACAATTATTTTACTAGAACTACATAAAATAATGGGTAACAGAGATTTCTAGATGATAAATGCTACAGAAGCCTTTAATGTGCAATCTTTGAAAAAATCATACAACGCACTTACCAGATGTTAATATTGTTTTGAACTCTAGTCTTGTATGTTTGTATACATTTCTAACAAACTCATTAACAGAACAGTGCCATGCTTACAAGTCATATGTGGTTGAATTATCAATTTGTAATGGAGATGATGTTAATATTTTTCTTTGTATAGAAGCATTATCATAGCCCAGAAAATTAGACCAAGATACAATTATGGCCGTACATAATAATAAGGCTTTTGCATGTTTTGAGGGACTTGCCATTGAGTTGAGTAAGATCACAACTCAGTAAAATAAAAATGACTGTAGTTGATTCTGTGAGTGTCTACAAGCCTTCTACGTCCTCAATGAATTGTCATAGTCGAGTCGATCACATGGATAGATGCTGCATGAATCAATTTATGTATTTCCTAAGATGATGAGCCACTAAACTGGAAATTGAACTCACACTTATATACATGGAAGCAGAGGGTTGAGGAGCATTATTTCCATTTTCAGAGTGTTTTGTCTAAGTGTATGTTGAAGCAGATGTGGACTGCTGAAGACTATCCTGTAGTGTTTATGATAGAGAGAAGTCATATTAGCCAAGTACCAAAATGGGATTCTTATGTCAGTGAGGAAGCAGGTAGATGGTTCTGAGATCAATTAGATGACATGCACACCAAGGTAGGTGAGCAGCCCATTTCTGGGTGTGTGTGTGTGTGTGTGTGTGTGTGTGTGTATTCTTATACACACTGTATGCAATTAAATGTGTTCACATAATTACTGTAAATGTGTTCATGGCTCCTCGGTTCACCTCAGATGGATGGAAGTTCAGCTGACAGTGCTTCTCCTGCTTCCAGTTACAGGAGCACAGTCATAGCAGTATTTATTCTTAGGGGCTTACAACTGGATCTCCCCAAAATAGGGGTGGATCATACCCATTACAAAAGTAGATGATAGAGGTAATATCAAAACACTTGCTGTTAAAATTACCATAGATCCATGGTTAGCTTTGTTCTAACCTCAAAGATTTGTCTATAAAATGAAAGGGAGACATTTTATAGGAATATTTTTTAAGTGTTAGCATTTCTGTTGCATTAAGGGTCATTTCTACTGCACCTCTCTCTCTGTCTTCTGTAAAACACTGGTTCCTTTATGGCTCATGAGTTGCCAAAAAACATGTGGAAAATATTGATTTTAAACTTTATTATCCCAGGAGTGTATTCTTGTCTGCAGTTCTAGTAGTGGCTAAATTAGTTTCTCGGTCACTTTGCTTGAATACAAATCCTACGTACAACTGTCAGAGCAAGTCCCATACGCTGATGAGACGGGCACTGGCCCTCGCAGGGATAACTGCGTTCTCCCTCCCGTAATGTGCTTCCCAGGAGGGAGCTGCACGATGCCAAAAAGCCATGGAGCCATCAGACTAGGAGGTGGCGCTGAGTTCACCAGTGGAGTGGGACTGTATGGGACACCCAGGAAGTGAGAATGCAGCTTCTGTCTCAAGAAAGCAGCTCCTGTCGGTCCGGGCCATCACGTTACGGCCCCTGGGGCCATTTTACTTCATCGCATGCTGCCCCTGCTTCTTCTCCTACCTCCTAGATACTGACTTCGTGTCTTCAGTTTTTTAAAAATTTCAAATGTACCAAAAGGTGAAAAAAAATTTAAGATACAGATGTGGACTCAATACTGGATGTAATGAATTTTAGGATTTGGTCCAATTTACCTTAGGGTCTGATTTTTTAAAGAGGCAAGGACTACAGAGACACTTGGGGGTTCCATGCGTATCCAATGCCATGGGCACCTCTCCCAGGAGGAAACAATACCGAAGAGGATGGGGTCAGTGGGTCCCACTTGCACACATTCTGTGGTTCCTACTTGATCTCTGTCTGAACATCCGTCTGTCTCTATCATGTAACTATGCATCTCTATCTGCATCATGTCCTATCTATCCACACACACACACGCACACACGCACACACACACACAATTTAATATGGTACACTTTGCATTTTTACATAACTTCTATCATATTTATCTGCAGTTAGACTTCCTTAGCTGTCAACATGCTGTTTTAAGAATCACCTATGCCTGTCAGTGTTTATGGAGTTCGTTCATTCTAGATGTACATAAGATTGCTTTCCATGGCACTTTCCATTCTTTTCTAAAATGCCAAAATACTAGTTAGGATCTAGGTTTTGCCGTGCCACAGCAATGCTGGAGCAAACATTTGACTCTATGAATAACGCTGGCACCCATGGGCTGAAGTTTGCAGAACTAGGAAGCCCCCAGTTGTGCTGGTGTCACGGACTGCTCTGCTGAGTGACTGTACTACTTCGTCCCGCTACCAGGATCACATGAAAGTCTGCATTTCTCCTGTACTTACAGTATTGTCCGTACTAATGGGGATAAAAATTAATTTCATGTATCTTAATTGTTCCTATCTTATAGTAAGGTTCGTATGATCTATGTCTTATGTGTTAATGTGAAACGATTTTGATTGGCTATTTTCTTTTGTTTGTTTTTTAATCAGGGAATTTACTTGTTGCTTTATTCGTTTGGAACTCGGTCTACTGTGGAAATAAGTGGAAATATCTATTGTACATTTAGACTCCTAAATGTGATTAAAAGCTAAAAGTAGTCTGCATATTGTAGGTATGAGCTCATAACTGAACTTCTTTTGGTTTTCTTTTTTATTTAGGTTCTTCCGGTCAGAGTCCTCTGTTGGTGGTCTTAAGTGGGAACCACACTCAACAGTCGAATTTTACAAGCAGGAGCAATCAGTTATACCTTCGCTGGTCCACTGATCACGCAACCAGTAAAAAAGGGTTCAAGATTCGGTATACAGGTTCGTAAGTGAAGCTTACAGTCAGCATAAATGCGTTTTTAATACAAGTGATCTGCAGTAAATAAAGAAAATGGAGATAGAAATTTGTAGTGTAAACCTAATATCCAAGGATGAGAATTAAGTCCCATAGAAATAATATGATGGGAAATTACTCTGAGTAAGAGGTCTCTAACCTATAGCAGAGAAAAGAAACAATTTATTGATTGATATTTTAATAATGATTGCTAAAATCATAAAGCTTCAAATTCACATAGGGAAAACAAGGGCATTGCCTCTAAAAGATAAAGTAATATAATATAAAGCTAATTTTAAATTAGGTTTAAATGCTAAGGAAACAAACAGGAAGGGATATTCCTATTGATGTTAATTTTATAAGTGATAATCTCGTACTATTAGTAGTTTGTCTTTTTATTGATTATCTGTGTGTCTCTTCATATTTGCAGATTACATAAACACACATGTATAAACACATACAAAATTAATACATATTGCAGATTATATATTTCCTCCTCAACATTTTCCTTTGTCCTTTCCTGTGTGTTTCAATTATGCTCTGCAGGTGCTATTTGTACTAATTAAGGCAGCCAATGTATTTATGTTCTTTAAATCCTCTGTCCATCTGTCGGTGTGACCTGACCCACACCTAATGTTTTACTGTCCTACAGAAAAAATAGACAACTTAAATTCCTTATATATTTTAATTACTCACCAAAAAAAAAAAATAATCCACACTTTTCTCAGTATCTCACTCAATGATTTCCCGTGGTGATAACTGAGCTGGTTTCCCTCAGGAAGGTGCCCACTGGCTACGTTTAATGGAGCAGCGGCTTCCCGGAGGGCTGGGGAGTCCTCTCTTGGTCTTTGCCTTGGTCAGTGCTGAGGAGCGTCCTGAAGAGGAATAGCAAAAAGGCACAGGAGTTTAAAGGATAAGATTTCAGCTCTCTCTGGTTGGTAGACATCGTGGAACATTACAAAGTATCAAGGGTTTGAAAAAAAAAAAAAAAAGCTTTAGATGTGCGGAAGGTGGGCATGAAATTCAGTCATTCTTTCTTGATAAAGTTCAATCAAACATACCCAGACCTTCGTGCCTCTCTCCTTCTCTCAGTTATTCACAATGCCTATTGACAGAGGGCTCAAAGTTGAGGTCATTTCCATTAGACGGAGTTAGGAGACTATTAGGGCGATGATCGGATTTGTTTTCATTACATTCCTTGTTTTGAAAAATAAATATTGAGACCTTTAGAATCGTTTGAATTTATTTCCAAGGTGCAAAACGGACATTGCAGGGGAAATCATGGTGAACCTAATTGATTTCCTTCTACCTGCGGTTAGGTCACTTAGTACCCTGGTAATGTGATTATACCTGGAGTTCTGCCTTTCAAGGCACATTTTAATTCATTATAGAACAAGAAAATTCTCTTAGTTAAACTGTGTTGGGAGAGTAAGAAATTGGAGAATTTCAGAGAAAGCTGTATTTTTTTTTGGGGGGGGGGCGTGAATACCTCTATCTTTTAGCAGGTTTTCATTTTAAATTCGGTGCTTCAGTGACCTCTGCTAGGAGTTCATCACCTGTGGTTTTAGCACGGTGATGAGATGAGCATGTCTCCGAGATGCAGTGGAGTGGGCAAGGGAGCTCTAGCCTGTTGTCTGACCACACGGCATATCTGACATCTCTGTTTGCCCCACATTTATGAAATACTGGTCATCCGGACTAGGATTGATACAACAGAGCAACATAATTTGAAAGCAAGAAAGACAAAGCCAGGGCTGTCCAAAGGCGGTTCTAGTCAGTGCACTGTGCTGTGCTAAGTGCATGCAGAGTTAATAATGGTCCTTCCATATAAGTGAACCGCGCGAGCTTCCGGATGGGGACAGTTAAAGATAGAGGTGGGTCAGACATACATCCAGAAATTCCAGAGTCTTTGACTTGCCCAGTCTTCTCCCATAGTGGGTGCCTCCCTGCTCTTCCAACGCTCTACCAGCAGTTTTGAGGTGGGCATCGGTCCTCTGTGTCTTACTATAGCCAAGAATTAAACAGGTGGGGCGCGTGCTCTGATCTGTCCCTTTTGTTCTCAGGGCTCTCTTTTCTCCCCTGGGCCCCTCTCTAGCTCTCTCATTCTAGGTGAGTTAGGAAAGAAGAGGTATCTTGAAAGCCCGGTGATAGGAAAAACATAGTAAATAGGAGAGAAAATGGACAATCATCAGACTGTACAGAGTTGGACGATCCCACACATTATATCCCTTAACAGATTAAACTATGACAAAAATCATGGGTGACATGCAATGAATTATGTGGTCTCTTTGTCCCTTCAGAGCCATTTCAGACTTAATCTTCTCTCTCCCTTTAGAGTAAGACCTACAGTCTGCTCCTTCTTCCTATAAATTATCTTTCTGTTTTGTTTTGGTTCTTGCCGTTGTTAGCCAAGGTGCCTGATTATACTCATTCCTTCCCTAAAATAAATACTTTCATTCATTCAAAACTTACAAAATTGGGTCTGGAATGAGGACATAAAAAAATGGCTTGGCCCATGGGGCAGCGAATCAAAAGTTTCTCGCAATACTTAGTGAAATTTCACTTAAGAAAAATCAGTCCATTAAAAAGAAAATGAAATGGGATTTCTGAAGATCATCCAGCTGAAGGCATTCTCTGAGGATGCTCCTTACAGCGGCATGGTTGACAACCCAGGCCAGACACTCAGACACTGCTTCTGGGCAATGCTATGATAGGGAGCCTTCAAAAAGTTTCTTCTGCATTGACTTCTAAGGATGGGTTCCACATTAAGCACTCAGACTTGTAAGTGTGTTTGTCTACGGAGCCCCCATGGGACTGGTGGTACATTTAAACCTCTTCTTTCCAAAGGAAACAGCATTTCTAGTCCTTCACAACTTTCTTTATTTTATTGTTTTAATTCATCGGAAGGGAGTTGATAGGAGTGTTTGCTGTAATGAAACTGATCTTGTAAGAGTGGAATGAGTTTCTTTCTCTAAATGTGTAAATAAGACGCAGAGCTTTTAGCCGTCAGGATGTTGTATTCTATGTAGGTGAGACTTACTCTAACAAACGCCTGTCCCCAATTTTAGGAAGTTCCTACACAGGCAATGACTAAAGCTATTGGAAGATTTGTGTTGACCTGGAGTAGTGCATTTTCTTCAGAGATTTTAATCAAATCCCATGTGTTAAAAATAGCTTCATATCTCCATTATGGAGATACTCACAAGCCCCACTGAACAACAGTGACAAAGAAATAGTTAATGGCTTTAACGACAAAATGTTCTATTTTTCTATTTTCTCCATATTAATGATGCTTTTCTTTTCCAATATTGAGAATTGTTTTGTTTCAAGTAAGGTGCTCAGAGCCACACCTCCTTGTTCTTATTCTGGTGGCCAGTCAGCTTACTTAAGTGGGTCGGCCTTAAGGGAGTGAGTGAGGAAATTCAGCGTGATTCTTCCGTATATTTCCTTACAATGTTCAGAAAGTTGAGATCCTCCTTCACACAGAGCAATAATTGCCTATAGTCCCAACTTCAAAATAAGAGATTGGACCTTGGCTCTAGGCTTTTAGGATGCGTTTTGGTTTAGTTTTGTTTGGTTTTAGACTTTATTTTTTCAGAGCAGTTTTAGGTTCATAGCAAAATTGAGGAAAAGATACAGAGAGTTCCCATGTATCCCCTCCCGCTGCGGACGCAGCCTCCCCCCCCACCCATCAACATCCCCTACAGATGGTGCGTTTGTTGGACTCAGTGAGCCTGCACGGACTCTTCGTCATCACCTGGAGCCCGGGGTCTGCCTCAGCGTGACTCTTGGTGTCATGTACTCTGTGGACTGGACATGGGGTAATGACATACACCGATTGTTACATTATCACAGAGCAGCCTCACTGCCCTAAAAACCCTGGGCGCTGCACCCGTGCGTCCCTCCCTATGACCCTTAGCAATCACTGCTATTTTTAGGATCCTATAGTGTCGCCTTTTCTGGAATCCCATACTCACCGTTGGCATCACCCAGTCGGCCGCCTTTCCAGACTGACTACTTTCACTTAGTAAAAGGCACATAAGGTTCTTCCATTTCTTTTCACGGCTTGAATGACTCACTCCTTTTGGGGCTTAAGAACATTCCACTGTTCAGATGGGCCACGGTCGGTCGTGCAAGCTTCAAGCGTGAGTGGTCGTGAGTAGAGCTCCTGTAAACATTCACGTGCACGTTTTCTTTTTCTTCTTGGGGACCTACATTTTTAAGTCTTTGAGCAAACACCAAGGAGGCTGACTGCTGGACCGTAGGGTGAGAACATGTTTGTTTTATGGGAAATTGCCACTGTCTTCTAATGTGGCGACGCCACGTTGCCTTGTCAGCAGCAGTGAGCCGGAGGCCCCGTGCCAGACTGTGGTGTGTGGGGATGCTTGTTAGAACACGTTGACATGTTGGTGCTGATTTCCCACTGTTTGAACAAGAAAGATACTTCATTTATATCCCTTTAACTGAGGGAAACCCCTGGTCTCTCCCTGTTTATTTATTTACATCTGGATGTGCTCGTGTGTCCGCAGCGCCCTACTGCAGCCTGACCCACACCCCAAAGAACGGAGGTGTTTTCAATAGGACCACAGGAGCACTGGGGAGTAAAGTGCATTATTTCTGCAAGCCCGGGCATCGGATGATTGGCCACAGCAACGCGACCTGCCGAAGGAGTCCAGGAGGCATGTATCAGTGGGATTCCCTCGCTCCCCTCTGCCAGGGTAAGAAAGGTGCTTTTTCATCCCCAAACTTGAATTAAATTCATTGTTCTTATTTGAATCACATATTGAGAATGACTGCAGCGGTGGCGACGGATGAAGGGTAAAGAAAAATTGAATGTGGGTTTATAGAAGTGCAAATCAAACTTTCCACTGGCCACGCAAACACTTGTGACATTTACACTGGGCTTGATGCAGCCTTACTGCCAGCATTCAGAGGATGGTGCATGTTCACTGGAAGTCGGTGGTTACCCTAATACTTACTTGTATTTCATTTTGAAGGAAAAAATGTGTTATTCGATGTAGACTCCAAGGAATTTTTCTTGACAGTTGTAATAATTAAAAAATCAATTTACTAAAACCCCCTTTTCATAATTTAGATGAAAAACTCATTCTTTGAGCCATACGTCATATATTTCATTTTCCTTTGGTCATTTAAATCTAGGACTTGTTAAAGTTGATTTCAATATTTCATGCTTTTTTGGTGACTTTATCTGTCATATGCATAAAAATCAAATTTTCAAATAAGGCTTTTTAATTTTAATTGAAGACTTTGGAGTCATGAAATTTTCATAGTTTTGCCTTATCGGGATTTATATTCATAATAAAATATATTGGTCTTTGAAAGCTAATTATGATTTATGAGTGGAGCCTTATATTGGTTTCCGTTTTTCCTTTTTTCATAGATATTAGATTTTATGGTATTTCTCTCTGAGACAATACTGGATATTTATCACAGTGACTGTATGTGTCTTTAACCAGCAGAAGTCAATCAGACACGTAGCTTGCATTATTTATGTTCCAGCTCTGGAAATTCTTTTTAAATATAAGACAAACATGAAGATCCCAAAGCTTCTTTCATTTAGAATGATGATTTCGTTCTTTACAAGAAGAAATAATTCTCATTTTCTTTTAATGTTCTGTTACTCTACGACAGAGACTCTATCGCTCAGAGAGTAGCTCTGGCAACTGTGTGTCTGCCCTGGGGACAGAATGCCAACTGCAGTAATCATGACAAAATCCCAAAGTGGACAAGGGTGGGGTGCGGGGCTGGGGGTAGAGCAGCGTTGGCAGAAGTTCCAGAGTCGGGATCTCTAGAGCCTGAGTCACAAAGGAGAGCTCAGATGGAAGGTGCTCTCAGAACAGAAGTCACTAGAAGGCCGGGGGAAAGACCCTGGGGTGACGGGAGGGACACGGGGGACCCACAATCCGGGCACATTCTGTGTGTCTCCCTGCTCCAGGAGGAATTCTGGAAATCCCGACAGAGCTGGAGACACAACTTGCTCTTCCTATGAAAGGCTGAAAGGAATAAGACGAGGTCTGCAGGTGTTTTTCCAATACCTGTACCCTCTCTCTCTCCTCTCCCATTCCCTCCCTTAGCAGAACTATTTAGGGCTGCAGTTAATGACTCAGAAACGGTGCACCAAATCCCAGGTCCTCAAGGAGCCCGTGCAGTGTGGGCTGAGAACCGAGTGAGTGTGACGCGTGTGTCTGTCGGTTGTGTTGAGCGTAACTGAGAATAACACAAGCACGCAGCACACTTGGTGTGGAAAATTAGGCTACCTTCCTTCAGATTTCTTCTGGGAGATAAAGACCCACAGGACTGTGTTCTCCGACGATCACACGCCCCAGAAGCACCCTCTTCCGACAGCAAACCTGTCGTGTTTAACCCGTTTTGTTAACTGTTCTGAGAACCAGGCAGCCTGTAGGACCGTGTGCTTTCTTTATAAACTACAACTTACAAAACCAGGGGGGCACTTGAGAATCACCTGGTTCAATTTACTTGCTTTCGAGTATCTAGAACTGAAGACTGTAAAAGTTAAAGTGACTTACCAATAATCACAAACACATTGACCCAGAATCCAGACCTTCTGACCACACTTCTGTGTCTGAATCAAATTGTTTTTCTGCCAAAAAGAATTCTCCTCGTAAAAAATCTTGTAGGCACCAACTCTGGAGAGAATCTGTATTTTCGGTATTTAAATTCATTTCCTGTGGAAAAGTCTTTTGTCTTTCCATCGTAGGTATTTACAATTTGTATAAAATAGCATTTTAGTTATAATAAGATACAAAATATTTTCATCATATATGAGGCTATAATAAAATTTACAGAGAGGGTGTACACTATGCAATTCCTGACCTGTTTGTTTTCATAGAGAGGCAGAGCGACATTAATCATGATGACAGTGTTTGTAGATCAGGGTCATTGTTGTAGGTGTAAAACCTAATGGCAAGAGTTAAAGACCATTTGTCTACTTTGACTTCAACCCAAACTTACCTCTGAGTTAGGCACAACAGGTGGCAAGACATCTTCCCAACCCTTAAACCTCTGAAGGTCCAGTGGGAGCAACAGATGTCGGAGGCGGTGGGTACAGTTCAGCGTGATGTTCAGTGACAGTAGGTACACATTGAGTAGAAGTGGCAGAGAATGTCAGGGATACTTTCACCGTCATGGGACACTGGGGCTAGAATCTGCAGGGAGGAGAAGGGTAGTGAAAGATGGGCTTGCGGAGGAGACGGGCCTCTCGTGGGAGACCTTAACTGCCAGTGTCCGTGGCTTCCACCTCCCGTCCTGTGACTGGTGCCCGTGAATCGACAAGCTGTGGGCTATGATGGTGCCTTACATTTTAGAAAGATCTCTTGCAGGTACGGCCAATGGCAGGCCACAGTCTTGCCTGGAACACAAGGGTACTTAGATGCTCGGGAGGGTGTGCTGGGTCCTTGAAAACACAGGGGACATAGGTCTGTGAGAAAACAGATATGGGACACACTTAGGAAGTAGCATCAGAAGACCTTGTGATGGCTGTGGAGGGTCAGGACAGGAACACGGTCAGTGAGGACATTCACTTTAGTTTCCCTTGACGGTAGGGTGATGGACAGTCCCGCTGTGTGCGGGGGGAGGCTCCTGGGCCAGGCCGACGTGTGGCCCCCCAGGTCGCTGTGGGCAGGCTGTGTCCCGCAGATGCTGGTGCTCAGAGAGGTCATTGTCTCAGACTTCTCAGGGCGCCACCGCTGAATGCGTTCAAGATACTGGGTGTGTCGTCGTTTGTGTCTCGTGAGAGGAGATGCGCCCTTGTAGGTTCTGTAAGGACCAAATCCAGTGAAAGAAGTTATGATTAAACAATGCATGTACCAGGACAAACTCGAGGCTGAATGCCCCCCCCCCCCCAGAACGGGACTCTCTGAGACGTGGGACCGCAGAGCACATGTGCTCTAAAGCATTCGGTAAGTCCTGTAGTCCATTCTTTCCGAGGCCTTGGGGGTAATTGGGAATTTCATTCCTGATACCACGTGTTGAAATATTCTAAGACTTTTAGCAAACTCAGAGATCACCGTAGTTATTATAATTATTTCTATCTGAAAATAGAAGACTTGAAAATTGGAATGAATGAATGAATGAATAAATAGATAAACACATTTCTCTTGAAGGCCCTGGCAGGCTAATACTTAACATTTTTGATGTGTAGTTAATATTTGAATGTATTATGTGAGATTTCAGGGACCCTTCTTGAGCTGCGATTGTGTTTTCTCAGTGATTTGAGCACTGCTCCTTTTAATCTTACAGAAGAACGAATACAATTTACACCTTTTCTAACTGCCCACACATTGTGTCTGTCTGTGTCCCCAGGACACCCAGCCAGACACCCTGTCACCTATGGCATCTGGTAAATATTTTAAATGCAAAAACTCCATAAATCTATGAACCTTATGAGACACATATTTGAGAATGATTTTTTTCTTTTTTTAAAAAAATGGTCATCATCTTCTGCCAGAATCTTTCAATTTCTCTTGTTTTCTTTGACTTTTTTTCTATTGTTTTAATGGACTTTTCCCCAGTGACGAGTCAGAAGCACAGAATTTTGAGAGAAACGTAGGGGCTGATGTGAGGGAATCCTCATCTCTTTGACAGGGGCATTTTGATTCCTCGCTCTCCGGATTGTTGAGAGGACGGAAGAAACAACCTAGAATTACTGTTCAAGACTTAAACCTGAGCACTAGTGCTTCCTGTGAGGTCTGGGGGCTGGTTTGTGAGGCTTCCCCCAGACTTAACAATGGGCCTGTGGCTCCCAAGACGCAGAGCTTGTAATTAGCAGTTAGAATATTCTGGGCAGCATTAAACAAACAGTCCGGTCATCTTTGAGTGAAAAAACTGCAGGAGGAGAGAGTAGCTACTGGTTTCAGGGAACTTCAGGTTGTTTTTCTCCCTTTGCTTGACCTTTTAAATTATTTTTCTCAGAAATCTGTATTGGTTCATATCCTCCCCGATAAAGCCAAGCATATCTTCTGTCCTTCAGGCTTCATTTCCTGCCTTAAAGCAAGAAACTCTGGCAAGCAGCTGTTTCCATTATCAATACACTGACCTCATTCATCTTGAAGAGATGCCTGAGTTAGAACCGAGATTTTCTCTATTATCTCAAAGACCCAGGTAAACCCGGGCAACACAGCACAGGGCTTTCCACCTTCCCGTGTTAAAGAGATAATAGCTCCCAGAAACCATCTGTCTTCTCTTTCTTTTTAAAAAATGTAAATTTTATTGTAATTCTGTTTGTTTGTTTCCAGGTTTTATTTAAATTCTTCCAGGTTTTATTTAAATTCTAGTTAGTTAACACATAGTGTAGCATTAGTTTCACGAGTAGAATTTAATGATGTGTCATTTCACCCAGCGTGCATCCTGAGGGCTGGCCTTGATGACCACCCAACCCCCCCTCCCCTTCATCCCCCTCCCCCGCCCAGCAACCCTCAGCTTGGTCTCCGTCCTTTGGTGTCTGTTTCCTGGTTTGCTTCTCTCTCTCTCTCTCTTCCTCTTTCCTTCTCAAGCTTGGATTCTCAGCCTTTTGTCACCTGTGGCTTCAGCCCGGTGCCGACACTGACCACTGTGTGTGCTCTGCTTGCGTTGTGCGGCAAAGAAGAGTAGGAAACATGATCGTTCGTACAAATTACGTGATTAAGCTTCTGTTTATCAA